GCCACACCCACACCTTTTACAATCACACCCTTCTACAACACACCCATACCATCTACAACCACACTCACATCATCTACAACCACACCCACACCACCTACAGCCACACCCACACCACCTACAGCCACACCCACACCATCTACAGCCACACCTTCTACAACCACACCCACACCCGTCTACAGCCACACCCACACCCCTCTACAGCCACACACACACAACTCTTGCCTTCAGATCTGTAAAACACTGAAATGTCTTTTCATTAGGTCGCTTGTAAGACATGCTTCTGTCCTCCTTCTAGAAGGATTACATATTTCGGAGTTTGAGAGTTCCCGATATAATCTACATAAAATCCCTTGTTGAACGTACGATTTTTCTCATAAACACCAGAGAATATCTATTTACGGTACTAGAGCTTTGAAGACAAATGCAAAATCTGCTAAAGTCCAGGGGATGAAGCCAAATTATCAAGAATTTAAATATATGCCATGCCCTTTATTAAGGAAGCCACGGAAAACTGAGCCTGCTTTCCAAGTAGAAAAGCCTAGGTACGGATATACGCCAGAAATATTTAAGCATGGATGTGTGAAAGACTGGTCTGATTTCTTGTGGCTTCCCATCCTTGCGGCCCACAGCCATCTTTCATGGCTGCAGCTCATGCGCCACCTTGTGGACCCTGTGAGCTCAGCAGGATTCTGCGAAGAGCACGTTCCCGAGTGGTTGTTTAGCCAGCTCCTTCCTAGACCTTGCTAGAGGGATTACATATGTGGATCTTAGTATGCGACGGAAGGGCTGACATAGCCCAGTTCAGACTGGGGCTGTGGAGCAAAGGACCCGAGAGAGGAGTCCAAGAGGGACCTACACAGAAAGCAGACGGAGCAAGGTGAATGCAGGAGTCAAGCCCTTTACGCCCACCCACCGATGATTGCTTCCAAAAGGAAAGCCACTCTGGGCAGCAATCACTCAAATAAATGACCAGGAGTGAAAGAGGTGGCTTTGATAGCCCTGAAAGTAATTGGGATCCGGAGCCACACTTACCATGGAGCCTGAGTGGTGTCAGGTGACTGAGTGGTTCACCTATGGAGTCCTGCTTCATGAATAGATGTCATTTGCCTCATAGAACAATCAATCTGCGGGGGAAAGTAGGGCTCAGGGAGATTTCCTTTCACCTTAGTGGACAAATGGAGGCTGTGATGGGCATCTCTGAAGGGTACTACCCCTGGTATGTGCTGCCCAGTGTCATGGGCACCTCTATAGGGCACCACCATTGGTGTGTGCTGCCCAGTGTCATGGGCACCTCTGTAGGGCACCACCCTTGGTGTATGCTGCCCAGTGTCACGGGCATCTCTGCAGGACACCATCCCTGATGTGTGCTGCCCAGTGTCAAGGGCATCTCTGCAGGACACCATCCCTGATTGTGCTGCCCAGTGTCACGGGCATCTCTGCAGGTCACCACTTCTGGTGTGTGCTGCTCGGTGCCGTGGACACCATCCCTGGTGTGCTTGCCTCAGGAAAGGCAGAGCTCACTCGGGCTCTTTTTCAGGCAGTCACAGACTACAGAACCTGAAAGAACGCAGGGAAATAGTGAGTGCAAGTTCAAGTGCATAAATACAGATTCACATCCAACTCCCTTTTAATCAGTGGAGGAAAACCTTTGACGCTCAACTGCGTGGTATTTGGACCATCTAAACTGGCTCTTATCTTTAATTAGAAGTTTGTGCTGTGATCCAAACATGTAAGGAACATGGCATGGTAGAAAGCCTGAGAGGGGGAGTGAAGCCCACAAGTTCAGGCAACACTTGATTGCCCAAAGTGGTTCTTAAAATCTCCTTGATCACAGATAAATAAGTCTCAAGAAATGTATTACCAATTTATAAAGGGCTCAGATGCCAGCGGGCTGCCAGAAGACAGCCTATCAGTTGAAGAAGCCAGCTCAACCACAATGTCTCCAATAAGACTGCAGAGAGAAGCCCTCACTATCTGCCCATGGTTACAAAGTTGCCACCACTACCAGATGGTTCTGGAGAGGTTAAAATAGCTAAGTGCAAACCAGGTGATCTGCATCACTTACCTGCTCCTTTGAGAAACCCTCTCTCCAGATGTAGTAGAAATGGGGAGACTCAATGCATTGATCTCCTGAACTCTTCACACTGAAGGTCCAGGTTCCTGTGAGATTTAAAACCAGCTTTGTCACCCCAACCAAAGATCATTAAAGCATAAATCGTGCTATATGGGGAAGCACTAACAGCTCTTCCCGAGACCTCAGGGTGCACAGACCCCTATAGCCCAATCCTCCCCAACAGGGAAACCACTTCAGGCTTTCTTGGTCTGTGTCTCTGCCGAGACTGCATGAAGAGCCCTGGATGCCGGGTCATGGGTTACACAGTTTCCCGAGAGAATGGACCCACTCAGAGGGTAGAGGGAGCAAGGGCAGGGGGGACTTAAAAAGAGTTGCAGTTTCAAGGATAGACTTCGTGACATAAAGAAACTGCAGAGTGCCAGCTACCGGGGTGCGAGAGAAAGGGCTGGGAAGGAGCAGAGTGATGGCTGAATCCTAGGTCGTTGCTCCTCACAGATAATGGGAGTGGGGGACACAAGACAGAATTTAGGGGATAATCAGATCCTCACCTTCTGACTGTTCGCCCACGGTCTAGAGAAACAATATCAGGCAATTTCGTTTTAGTAGACCTTTGCAAACTGCCAAATGGAAGGAGACAGATTTCATTTCTTTGTATTTGCCCTTTCTGACCCAATCCAGGGAGGTGCTGAGGCCCTACAGAACTCGGACCTCAGCAGAAGAACAGGGGTACAGAGACAAGAGACTTAGACAACGCACAAAATGATTGCTGAGAATGCTGGCAACAGGTCCGCCCGCCCAACAACCATGGATCCCCAGGAAGGTCACCTCCTGCATGAAGGGGCCCCAAACTCCTGGCACACTCAGCATTTGGTCCAGTCATCTCTTACCTTCAGAAGGCTCTGACCTAAGGCAATGCCCACTGCTAAGCAGACCACCCAAGAACCTCCAGGGATTTTTCTGCAAAGTCTAACATGAAAGCCAGTGATGATGGTAGAGCGGCACATGGAAACCCCTGATTGTGGGGCGGCACGTGGAAGCCCCTGATGGTGGAGTGGCACGTGGAAGCCCCTGACGGTGGGGCGGCACGTGGGAGCCCCTGATGGTGGGGCGGCACGTGGAAGCCCCTGATGGTGGGGCGGCACGTGGAAGCCCCTGATGGTGGGGTGGCACGTGGAAGCCCCTGATGGTGGGGCGGCACGTACTTGAAACTGACATTGCTCCCTGTCCCTTCCTGTCTCCTTCTCCGCTCCGTAGTTTTCTGCTGAGAAGCCCTTCCCAGGGTGCTAGTTAACTAAGTGCAGGCGGACTAGAGGAAGCCAGTCTGGGACCCACTGCAGAGCCAACAGATAACTTGTCAGGTCTCTCCTGCCCTTCCATTCAGGAACCCCAGCTCAGCCCACACCCAGCAGGAAACAATGAGAACCTAGCACATCATCTACAGCTGGGAAGACTGACGGTGGGGAGTGTAATCATCCAGATGCTGATCATCCACAGCTGGAGGAGAAAGAAGGAAGAAGGAGATAAACTGAGGGCTTTGGATTTTGCCTCTATTGGATATCTTACCTTGGTTTTCATTTGTTTGATTGATTGACATTTACTTTTTATTCCTTTCCAACCCCTTCCCCAATGTGTTAAAGATCTGTCCTTTACATATGTCTGTAAGACAATAGCGCTGTAACATTGAGTCCCGCACTGGAGAGCGGAGGGAGCTCAGCCACAGCCGTGTCCCCAGAGCTTTAAAGGTATGTTGACATGGGAACATAGTTCTAATCTAAAAAGGAATAAGAGATAGTTTATTCTGGAGCCAAACGTAAGTGACAATGGCTCAGAAACGGGATTTCAGGTCACCCCAAAGCTATATCTCAGCATGGCAATAATTTCATAATATCAAACAAGTGATGGATCAAGGCATGTTTTAAATCTGTTGGTAGAGAGGCACAAGGGTGTTAGGTCAGACATGGGTGTGGGTCTCCCCTGAGAATTTCAGTTTCAAGAGAAAGCCAGTATGAATAGTTAAGCTGCCTGGTCAAGGTGTGATCCTGTCCTACACCGACCCATCAGCACCATGGCACCAGTCTATCCAGTTCAGATTGGGAGACAGTTCCCTCTCTGGCTGGTACTGAGGCTCCAAGTTTCTCCTCATAGCATGGAGTCATGGGAAATTTTTAATTCTTTAGGGTCTGTTGTTTCAATTATTTTTATAACCTAAGGAAGAGGCTCAAATGTTTTTCTTTAAAATATTCTCTCTGCCAAGCCGTTTGTTACAATAGGACCAAAGAAGACAACTCTAAATTGTAAATAGACTATCCTAAATAATAGTTGCATTAAATAATAGTAAATAAGTCATAAATGTTAAAATAATCCAGTTGAGTTTTAAAATATTTCAACTCATTCATACATTTCAAGTTGTTCAAAAAGTTCAAATTACAGGCCCTGAGAATTCAGGAATAACTTACCACACCACTCCCTCCCAGGGTTCAGGGGTCATCGAGGAAGGGAGGCAGAAATAGTGGAAGAGCTGGGGACAGTTAATGTCTATAAGAAAACTGTTTCCTAGACACAGCAGGGCAGCTCTACATGGGAACTCGCAAAGGTTTTGACAGCCTGCACCAGATTACATAGGTGTAATCTCAAGACAGAAAAAGCCCAAGCATGGAGGGAGGGGCAGGTGTAAGTCCCATCTCCAGCTGTACAGACTCTAGTTCAGGCTCACAGCCGGGTTCTAAAGCCCTTGTTCGTGGGCAGGCAAGCCATTTGACACACTTGGGCCTTGTGAGCTTCTCTGTCTCTTCGGGCCTGAGAAATGTTTATTGGTTCGGAACAAAACATACAAAACTTTACCTCAGCAAACAAAACCTACAATCCCAATCAATGAGACTGTGAGCTTGGAAAAGTCTGGACCCTGTAGGGAATGTCACCTAGCCGCTGACGTAAACACATTGCTTCTGAGCAGTGGCAGCCCACCGGGGACAGCAGCTAAGGATAGGGGCTGGCACCTGGGAATGACAGCAAGGGGTAATGGCAGCATGTCTGTATCAGAAGCTGCATCCCTTTGATTCTTCCGCTGTCTTCTCCCACCACTCCACCCCCAGAGACCCTGAGGCAGTAGCTTCACAGGGTGGCTCTGTTCCTGAAAAGCCTCAGATGAATTTGACTCTCACAACTCTGCCGACTCTGTGAAGGGAGCAGGGATATGCAAGGTTCAGGGGCTCCTGAGTTCAAGCCTTTTGCCTGTGCCCATGGACTCTTTCATCTCATGATGTGTTCCTTGTGAGAGTAAACCTCAGTGGTAGATTATGGGCCTTACTGAAAGCAAAGCAAGATGCCCAAAGAGGCAGCCTTAGCAGGGCCCAACTTCATGAAAAACAAAGCAATTATTTCCCAATCTACTAGATGTCTTTGCTTCCCTCCCTTCTCCTTGAGGCTTTAGGAGCCATATTTAAACACCCACTTGGCATCTTCCCTGTGTTTGCATGCTTCTTACAGTTGGGATAAGGATCTTGGTTCATTGAGAAAGCATTATACATTGGGTCTTGCTCCTGTGTGCTGTAGTTGGGATGTGTATAGGAGGCTTGGTCCTCTATGCAGTGATATTTGGGTTATGGAATCTTCAAGAGGTGGGGCTTAGTGGGAAAGGGTCAGGTCGCTGGATCACTGCCCTCGGTATGGTTTAAAGTGGTTCCCAAGGAACCCCACTGAACTAGTGGATAAAATGGACCAGAATAAAAGCACAAGCTTCACCCTTAATTGTGCTCTGCCTCCCTGTTTCACCAAGCCATTGATCCCTCTCGTGTGCTCCCAAAAAGATGCCATCCTTTGTGTGATGTATCCAAAGTGACCACCACCAAAAAAGTATAAGTTTTATCCAGACCTGTGAGCTATATGAAACTTTTTATATCATATTATCTTCTAATGCTAATGGGAAATAGCAAATACAGTAAGTAGTCTTTGTACATCCCCATTTGACCCCTCAAGCAAGCCCTTGATGCAGGTGCTACTTCCAGTTCCCATGGCAACAAGTATGATGGGTCAGGACCATCTGCTTTTGCAGAGTCTATCCTCATTTCATTTGCTTAAGTGTTTCCTGACCTGGCCCCACGTTGGTGGTCCCTTCTCCATCCTGTTTTGGTTTGCCTCCTTCATTCTGGCTCAGAGCCCTCACCAAACCACCCGTTCAAAGATGGTCTCCCTGTGACCCATCTGCCTGAGCCCACCACACACTCTTCTTTATGAAGACATGATTCTTGAACAGATGTGCAATTACATACAAAGTAACTGTGTGAAAGAGGGGACTTCTGGCCAAGTCATGGCAACCTTTCTCAGAGGATGCTGGGAGCCTGAAGAATCAAAGAAGAGGGCAATCATATGAGGCAATGGATGTCTCTTGGTGGTCCTGGGTAGAACATCTGATAATGTGGCATGCATGGCTCCAAGGCTGGAGATTTCCAAGAATGTCTATCTCTGGACAGAATCAAAAAAAAAAAAAAGTCAAATTCCAGTTCCTGGAGCTAGAGTTTTGATAGCCAGAGTGTCTGTGGGAAGCCATCAATGGTGTATCAAGCAGAGGGCAAATTTAAACAGGGGAGCCAGGAACAGCACATTGGGTGTACTAGTCACTATAATCCTGCTCATTAGGATTCATGGATGACTTCCAAATTGCATTTTTAAAAAGTATTCTACTGTCTCTGGTGAGGAAATTCAGGAATTTGAGTCCATGGGCACCGGCATCTCTGAGGAACTATTTCATTTACATATTTTGCAACACTATATTTAGAGTCATAAAGTTGTTTTCCTAGGCCTTGTGGAAACCATCTCATGTAGTCCCTCACCTTCAGAAACTGCAGACAACTCACTAGTGAAGGAATCGCTGTGCCTTTAGGTATTACCACAACAGGGATATTTTCCATCTTAAAAAAAATGATGTTCTGTGCCTGGCTGGGTCTCTATAGCCATTTACAGAAATTGTGTGTGTCAAGAGGCCTAATCATTCTGAGCTCTCGTGCAGTCTTAAAGGAAGACTGAACTCTTGATTATTTTTTTCAGAATTCTGTGTGTGTGTGTGTGTGTGTGTGTGAGTGTGTTGGCGTGTGTGAGAACACATGTATGCATGTGAGGTCAGAAGTTCATGTTGGGTGATTTCCTTCACTGCTCTCTCACCTGCGCTCCCCACATTCTGGGGTTACAGGTGGGCTGCCACGTCCAATCAGCTTCTTCATGGATGCTGGGAATCCAAACTGTGGTCCTCATGTTTGCGGGGTCAATGTTTCACCCACTGAATAATCAACCCAGGCCCTGAAGCTTGCATTTTTAGAAGCTTTTGAAATCAATAAGCTGAAAGAACCACCTGATACATCACTGGCAACACAGCAAACACATTTTAAAAATTCTGTTTGGGGATTAAATTTTTGGCATAACTCAATTTGGAAAAAAATACTGTATTCTATGCCCTCCTTCTCTATGGCCTTTGCTGGCCTAAACTAAAACAAAATTTTTGAGTGCCCATTAGTATATTCCCTAATTTTGATTCTTGTTTGCTTCCTCAAAGTAGTAATTCCAGTTCCTAGAGGAGTCTGCCCCCATGCTTGTCTCCTTTCAATTGTGTCCCATAGTGGTCCCTCAGAAGGGATACCAAAGCCCCTCCCATCTGCCACTCGAGTGTTCACCATGTGAGTTCTAACTATCCATGATCAATCTCCTGTATGTTTTTGCTGTTGCTGGAGTCCAGGCCCACATGTGCCAGGCGTGTACTCATCCCTCATCATCCTCGTGCCTTCCTAAAGCTAAGGGCTGTTCTCACATCTTTTAGCATCTCCAGGACCTCATATCATGCCTGGTACTTAACCAGGAACTCAGTCTTGTCTGAGTCGCAGACACCTTCTGCCTGTCCTGTCCCCAGCATCAGAATGCTTGGTTTATGTTGTAGGGATGAAAAACCAGTGACCATAAATCTCTTGAGCTTTCCAGAAGGATTTGTTTCTTGGATCTTCTGCTCTGCAGGGTAATAGATGGGTCCAGGCACACAAGCCAGGCAGGGTAAAGACAAACTGCTCTGCTGAGCCACCACTGAAGGATGCTCCAACTCCATAACTGCACGATGCCATCACCTCATTTGCATGCCCACCCCGTTGGAAAATCCCTTAATAAAAAACGGTTTTAAAACTCTGCCAAATTAGAGCATGTGTGAGCCCCAGACTTCACCTGAGCTGTGTCTGAACACTCACTGCCCTTTAAGTCATTTCTGTGTTTATGTTGGAAAACTGTGTGCTCCTTGTGGATCTGCTTGGCTTGAAATGATGGAGACATTCCAAAAGCCTTTCATAACTACCTGATCTACCCTTGTGAGAAATGATCTCAGGCCTCTTAGTTCCACTCTGCATGCATGGCCTCCCCCAACTCTTAAAGGAGTAAGGGAGTGGGCAGGGTCTCTTCCATTTACCTTTACTACGGAGACTCCCTTAGGAGCAGAGACACTGGCCTGTGTAGCAAGTACAGTGGCACCTGCCTTCCGCCCTTGCTACCTCTGTTCCTTCCCAAGCCTGATGTTGTAAGACTTGATCCAGATCTCCACATTTTAAAAGTTCTTAGCTTCTCTGGTCAATGGCAAAGTAGTTAATCAATGGCATTTTCCACTGAGTGTTTCACTAGTCCTGAAAATAAATGTAGCTAGCACTCTTTTTATCCTGCATGCTAAAGACAAGTACAGGCCACAACCCAGAGCAGTGTTCCAGTACCACTGTAGACAGGCTGCAGATGCTTCGTCTGAGTTCCTAACTCCGACCTACTAGCCAAAAAAAAAAAAAAAATCCTATTTTTTTCTGTGATCTACACGATTAAGACACTGACACTATCAGTATTCACATGTGGGTGAAAATGTCCTTAGATTGTCACAAGTATACACTTAGTGGAGCTAGTTTCTACTTCCAAATGCAGACATTCCTCTCTTCATTGACTTGTACAAAAGCCAGAAAGGTCCATGGGTTTCCTCCTGCTACAAAAGACTCAGTATCTTGCTCAGCGGGGAACATTGTCACCCTAAGAACACAAAACCTTGTCCATGGGAACACTGTCACCCAAGAACCCAAAGCCTTTCTTGGGGAGAGTGGTCACGGTAGAACCCCAAGGTGAAATGAAATCTCTGTCACTATGATGAAATGGTGCCTCAAACTTTATGTTAAATGTTGTGATTGCTTTCCAGGGCACATCATTAATAAAGGATATTTCAATTCCATATGTGAGGATGCATCAAGACTCTTCAACCGTTTCCCACAGCTACAAAACAAGCGGGCTGTGGTTGTAACCTCAGGAAGGAGCAGACAGGAGAGGTGGCTTTTAAAAAGTCATGGTCTGTGATGTAATTGATGTTAAAGAAAACCCACCATGTTGTGAGGAAGCTTGACCACGCTTCCACTGTCACAAGCACACTCTTCCACTGCCACAACCACACGCTTCCACTGCCACAACCACACGCTTCCACTGCCACAAACACACACACTTCCACTGCCACAAACACACATTCACTGACAAAAACACATGCTTCTACTGACAAACACACACTTATACTGCCACAAACACACGCTTCAACTGACAAACACACACTTATACTGCCACAAACACATGGTTCCACTGACACAAACACACGCTTCCACTGACACAAACACACGCTTCCACTGGCATACACTCCAACAGGCTTCCCCCACCATTCATTTGGTGTTGGATTAGAAGTCACTCATGAAAATCAAAACAAAACAAAACATGAAAACCTCTGTCAACAATTCCCCCATAGCCTGACAATTTGAGTGAGGCTAAACTTTAAAATAATAAACTACTTGATTTCTATGGGGAAAAAAAATCAAGCCACGGCTGAGGCATGGCTGTTTTCAGCCAGGTTTGCAATGAGAATTGGGAGCAAAGAGCAAAGAAATGACCACTTTTTAAGATGGAAAAAAAACATAGAGAGTTGAAGATTCTTGATGTTGTTGTTTAATGTTGGCATGTTCCCCAAGCGGCCTGTGAGCCAGACAGAGGCTACCGCCAGAGCAGTGCAGGTTCCCCCGCAGTGAGCGGCAGAGATGGCGGGTGGAGTTGGCAGATAAAAGGCGCATAGGACATAACAAGTAGACAAAGGCCAAACACAAAGATAAACATTTATTACTCAAAGAAGAGGGAGAGAAAGAAAGGCAGAAACAGAAAAGGGAAGAGGAAAAGGAAAATGCATGTGCACACACCAAGAGAGGGGGACAGAAGAGAAAGGTTAAGATGGCAACCAGTAGGTCAGAAGTGGCTGGAAGTGGGTGTGGCTTGCCCTTAAAGGGATCAGACCAAAAGGAATAACACTTGATAGATTGTATTTCTCTGGGTACCGGAAGTTTACTCCAGAAGGTTAGAAAGCACACGTAATAGTGCTGACGCGGACTGTGTGACTCTGAGTACCATGAACAGCACTGGATCCGGCCCAGGAATCTCATTCCACACCAAATGCACTTTAAGCTGCATTAAGGTGTCTATGGACACCAAGGCAATGCTGGGAAAACTGTGTTCCTCCTCAAGTAGAAAGGACGCTGCCCTCCACAGTAGCAAGGCTCCCTAGGGAGAGGCCGGTGGAAGCTGACAAGCAGTTGCTCAGCAGGAGGAATTGGAGGTGCTGGTGAGTGCTAGAGACACCCTAGGATGCTATAAGCAGTACTTAGTGGGTAGAGATAATCTATTCAAACAGCTTGTGGGAGAAACTGTGTGATTCCTGGAAGTTAAGGTGTCTCTGACAGCCATGAGAGCCCAAGGGAGCTGCCTGCTGACCGTCCTGAGAGGACAATGCTGTGCTTAGAATTTGAAATGCCCCCCCCACAGGCTCGAGGTTTGAACAGCTGTTTTCTGGCTAGTGGTGCTATGTTAGGGTGTTGTGGAGTTGTTGGAAGACGGGGCCTGGCTGACAGACATTGAGCAAAGCCACTGTAAAGAACCAGCACAAGACAGGCTCCGGATGTGCTACAGGCAAAGGGGCTTCCTTTTGTGGAGCTCGCTGCCGGAGCTGCTGGAGCTCGTGCTGAAAGGACCGTGCAGATACCACGACAGGCTGTTCCAACGTCTCTCTGAGAGCAGACCTCAATTTCAGTTTCCTGAGACTGAACCAGAGTTTCTGAGGAAAAATCACCAATAAAGGACGATAAACCTCCAATACTCCAACAGTGAGGAGGAGGCCTGGTACATGTAGTACCGGGCCAGGCCAGGCCTGAGCCAATCTCCACAGCAGCTCTAGGACAGGGCCTAGGCATCCCAGACCTGCCCCCAAATGGAAAACTTATGATTTCCACTTGCTTAAGCTAATCATATCTAAAATGGCTAACTTTCTTAGACACTCCCTTCAGTAAGGCCTAAAAGAAGCCCCCACCTACCTCTTGACGTCATCACCATCTTGCCTTTGTGTAGGATGGTCGGCCCCAGCATGTTGGAATAATACAATAATAATAATAATAATAATAATAATAACAATAATAATAATAATAATAATGCCCTTTGCTTTTGTATCTGATTTGGTCTTTTTGTGGTCTTTGGGGGTCTGGACTCTGGGTACAACAGCATCATGGCACCCCACGCCTAGAGGCTGGACTTGGAGCTACGGGAGCTAATGTTTTCCCTGTTAGGTTTCAGGCCTACTTTGGTCAGGGTCTCCTTGCGGTCCTTCCCATCCCAGTCTTTCTTTAGGGATGTGACTGTTTATCCTGATCTTATGTATACTGGGCAGGTGTAACCTTCGTTTATAAGAAGGTCTCATAGTCGAGCATCTACTTTGAGACTCAGAAGAGATTCTGGAGACTGATGGAACCTCTAAGACTTTGGCAGTTCTCCGAGTTGAACTAAACACATTTTGACCTATGAGATGAGCCTTTGGGGGCCAGGGATGTTGTTATTTGAATGTGAAATGTCCCTGCCAGGAACTCAAATGTTTTTTTTAACACTTCTTCCCCCAGAAGAAGGTGATGCTTCAAGAGGCCATGGAGCCTAGTTGGCAGAAGTTGACCACAATGATTGAGTCCTTGTAGGATGAAGGCTTCTCTCTAGTTCCTGCACACTGTTTCCTGGTTCACCATGATGTGAGTATCCTCTGACACACACTCCCACTGCCATGAACTCCGCCGTGACTCCCCTACTGTGGTGGATGGATACAAACCCTTCCCTGAGCTGTCAGCATCAGGTGAAACGGTCAAGGTGATGCAAAAATAGTGAATAGATCCTTCCATCATTGTGTGCAA